CACACCTCAGCCACCAACATCTGCCATCTTCTCTGATCTCACTTCATCATCGACCAATTTAACCCATCACCATCAATCCATTTTAAAAGGTAGCCTCAGATCTTCCTTCAATTCGTCATTTCTCTTGACCTCGCCGTCGTCCTCCACTAGTTTTGAGAAGTCCTCTATCCCTAACATTCCATCGACGTCAGCATCCGATCATTACACCACCATTTCCATCTCCTCATTTGACATTTCGCCACCTACAACCCTCACGCACCTCCTTAGCTCTTCTTTTGAGATTTTACCATCGTCGTTTTCGTCAAAGTATTTAAACATCATCTGCTTTTTGCTCCATTTATCCATCGTTGGAGCTTTATCGTTGTCGTCACCAGAAAATCTCAGATCTCCGCGTGACAGTGATGACTCACAACGGCACTTAGTTCGCCGATGACGCTTCCACCAGTGAAGAGGAAGAGAGAGAGTGAAAGATGAGAGAGGCGGGAGAGAGAGAGTGAAGATGAGAATGAAAGAGGGTGATTTAGGGTTAATATTATTAATAATTCAATTAATACCTGAATTTTGAATTTGAAAAGTTAAATGTCTGATTTTTTGTAATTTCCTCATGATATTTTCCTCAATTGGATTTATGGGCCCGGCCCTCAATTTGGTAAGGCCCATAACTGACCATTCATTTTGTCCCACAAAGTAAATTCATACGTCCGTGTAAGTATATACATATACGTGTAACAATGTATGTGTATTTATAGTGCTTAAGCAGCAGGAGAGCGTTGCATTTTGCGTTCATTCAAGGTTTCAAGCAGCTAGGATGTATTTGATTGCGAACATGAAATTTTTATGAAAATAAAACTAATTCTAAAAAATTTAATTGACTATAACTTATTTATATGAAAATTATTAATTAAATATGTTTGATTGATTTAGTTTCAATCTATAAAATATTATATTTGTCCATTTTTTATTGGTGTGTAGATAAAAAATAAAAGATATTGAATTACCTGGAAAATAAAAACCACCAATGTCTAAAGAAAATATTTTCCTTATTTCTAATAAAAATATGGTCATATAATTAAAAGTTGAAAAATATATTTTATGAAAAAAAAAATTGACAATCAAACCGTCCAAAATAAGATTTTGGGTGAAAAAATAACATTTTCTCTCGTAATTAAAAACATAATTCACATGAGAAGGAAAGCGAACTCGAGAGAAATGGAAATGGTGGAAGAGACATTGACAAAGAAGCAAAAACAAATGCTAGTAATGGAATACCTCGATCTCGTTGACGGTCACAAGAATCTCGTCGATCTCACCGTCTGCCAACTCAACCAGGTCCTCTGACCCCCACTCGAAACTATGGTTCTAAATTTAAGCATCTCATTCTGAACTTTTGTCAGTTTTGGTTAAATTTTTGTGCTGTTACTTTATTGAAATTGATTGCGTGTAGGAAAATTGCTTCCAAGTTTTCGGTTAATTTGGTTTGTTGCTTTAATTTTACAGATCCTAGGCATGCATGGCTTGGCTTCAACAAGATGCGGTGTCAAAAGGCCTGATTCAATAATGCAAAGATTAAAATCCAATTTCAATTCCGATATTACTTATTTTCCGAATTTCCTTTTACTTTATATCTGAGAAATCATTTCTATTAATATTGATTGATTGATTAATTTGTTAATTCAGAAAAATTTGATGGAAATGGTGAGCAGAATACAGCTGATGAACCTCAGCCGCTCTACCTTACAAGACGACGGCATATTCCCGTGTGGCTGCCTCGCTCTGAAGGAAGTGATAAAGGACCTCAAAGATATCGACTGGAACGAGTGCCATATCACCTCTCTCAGCACTCAAAACGCCGCCAATTCGGCCTCCTCCTCCGCCGTTTTAGTGACGGAGCCAAAGAAGGTTGGAGCCGCTACTTCTGTGTCTAATACTGGTACTGCCTCCTCCACCGGCACTGTCTCGGTGAAAAAGCCAAAAAAGAATGCTCGAGTTGCTGCTTCTGTAACTACTGCTGGTACTGCATCCTCCGCCGGCACCAACAGCGCCGTTTCACTGAAGAATCCTTCTGGTACTTCTGTTGCTGCTGGAAGTACCACTGTTAGAGCGAGAGGACTGTTTCCTGGATTATGTTTGAAGAGAGGTGAGGATAATATTGTCGTTGTAATCTGAGATTGTTATACAGCTCAATCAAAGCGTACAACTCTTTATAGCAAAACCGTAAAATTGCAAAATGGTAGGCATTTATTGGGGATTGAAACTCTTCAATTCGGATCCAGCACCCAGCGAGGCATGGCCGCCCATGCTGGATCCACTGGAATTTATAGGTTAGAATCGTTGTATGCAGCCCGCTATTGTTGCAGTTGCCTGGGAGGTTGAAGGAAAGGAAGGAGGCCACATTTTTCTTTTCTTGTGGGCTTTCTGTTTAGGCTTTTCTTTTTTTAAAATTAGGCTCAGTATCCAGGCCAGGCTCTTGATATGATTCCAATTAAGCTGCTACTTTGTGTCCATAAGAATTTTGCAAAATCATCATTGATATCAACAACTGGCTTAGATTTAGCGATTTTGAGACAACAAAATAGGTGTTAGCATAGAGTCATTACTAAGAAAACTCAAAAAAACATTGGAAAATATTAAAATGTACGATTACGTATTTCATTAGAAAAACAATTATTAATCAGACAAATCATTCACCACGCAAGTTCTCAACAAATATGATGAATCTACGACAATTAATAACAAATAATTAAAAAAAAGGGACCGTGAGACTGTGTTGTAGTAAACATTGCACACATATAGAAGTAGAAATCTGTAAATGCGCGTCTACAGAAATTCTCTTCTTGCGGCGTACCCATTCTGCGAGCGGCGGATATTCTGCTGGCGTTTCTTATATATAATGGTGCCGATACCAAAAACGCATGCAAACACAATTACTCCGAGTACAATCCCTGCCTTATGCCCGCTTTTCATCCCGCCAGACGACTCCTGCGACTCCAAGTCACCGAAATCGGCCTGGTTCGCGTGATTCACATCTCTCGAAATCTCCGACGCCGGAGCCAGTGAAGGAGACTGAGAGTTCTCGCCTGTAGCCGGAGATTGTGCAGAGGAGAAATCTAGCGGCGGAGGTGCTGGTGGAGAAGAATGTGCTACGGAAGGGGATATCGAGGGAGTAGCAGGAGACTGGGAGAGGGCGTCACCGGGCAGTTGGGGGGAAGGGGAAGGGGAATATTCCGGAGGATCTCCGGCGACTTCTGATTGTACAGTGATAATGACGGTGAAAAGGAGAGTTAGAGAGAGAATTTGAATGTAAGTTCCGAACGAAGCGGCCATTAGAGCGAATTTTAAAATGATTTTTGAATATCCAAAACGAAATCGAAGAGAACGAAATGGAGTTATTCCCAAAAATTGAGAAAATATGAACAGATTACAACGGCGGTTGAAAAATAGTAGGAGAGGATATAGGGGAATTCTATGAAGTAGAGATAGACGAGTATGAAACGGAGGGAATTTCTTAAGGAATTTGAATTTGGGTTAAATACTTAATTAATCAAATTTTTTTAATGTATGATACAATTATGATTATGAAGGAAGAAATGGTGCAGAAAACTTTATATTTCTATTGGTTCGAAAACCTAATGCTATAATCGGAAGTCGTCCTACGTTACTTGCATTTTGTTATTTAATACATGAGGCAATAAAAAATTATCATGCTACTGCATTAAATAATAAAATGTCATATGTATGACACGTATGACGGCTATCGATAGTTTTCACTGTGAATAACATTATGCGGTTTACTTAAATGACGACAAACCTGGTATTATTTGTCTGGTGAGTTTAAGAAAAAATAAGAGTTATTAATAGGACTCAAATGATGCACATCAGTCATCTAGAATAAGTTGGCATGATCGTATAAGATCATTGTACCAAGATTTTTCTTCCATCTAATATAACATTACTCTAAATAATAATGTAAGCCAATGAAAATTCAGTGCAAAAAATAAAATTGAAGATTGCAAAATTTTTGTTGGAGATTCGAACCGTGGCATTTTGTGCTACCATATATTTCAGCTAAAGTTGTGTTTCCAAAACACATTTTTACTTATTAAGCTGAGTTTTGGATCTGTTGACATCTGTCTCATTGCTGGCCGTTGGATGAAATTTAGACTGTGATATAAATACTTGGTTCGACTGTTCATCTGTAGAGATTCATTCATTCTTCTCGACTTTGGATTAGGGTTTCGAGAGAGTTCTACTCTTAGGGTTTCATTGATTTGTTCATTGTAAAATCTCTTGTTCTGATTCATTACTCTTGTGTGTTAGCCTTAGAATTCTTGATTTTCGTATGTGGAAATCTGCTAGAAGTTGGGTTCTGTTTGCTGTGATTTACGAGTGTTCTGATCTGGCGATTCTTGTGTGATTCAACTAAGATCTGTTGAATCCTTGAAAAGATAAGTCTCTAATCTGTATTCTTTGAGTTGATTGAACTCATAATAATCTTCGTTGCCAGTTTGAAGGCTGTTAAGTGCAATCGATCGTTATCCTTTTGTGGATGCTCAACAAGGGANGTGGATGCTCAACAGGGGATTAGGTTTATACCGAACCTCTGGGTTTAGGCCGAAAAATCTATTGTGTTCATTTTACTTTCTGCAAATTTAGTTTTCTGTCAATTTAAGTTCCTTGTAATTTGATTCTAAGGTCGTGTTTGATAGGCTACATTTTTCGGGGAAGTAGGAAAATATTTTCCACTTTCCACTTTGTTGGCTGTTTGATAGGCGAAATTTTCCACGGAAAATATTTTCCGGAATTTCCCCACACGTGTGCAATTTTCAGGTTTTTGATGAAAATGTTTTCCCGCCTTTTTGGTGGGAAAGTATTTTCCCGACTGGCTGGAAATTTTTTTTCTTTTTTTGTAATGGAAACAAATGTCATAACTAATTTTCATGTAAAACAAAGTCAAACGAACACTAAACTTTGATGAGAAAATGATTTTTTAAGAAATAATTTTTTTTTCCCTTTTTTATTTTAACTTTTTGGCAATGGAAACAAATTTTATAACCAATTGTGGAAAAAAAATATCACTTTAGTGGACAATTTCCATGTAAAGCAAAGCCAAATGAATATAAAATTTAAAAAATTTTCGAGTGGAAAATTATACCAATTAAACACACTTGAAATCATTTTCCCTACAAAATATTTTCGAGACAAATATTTTCCTTATAAAACATTTTCTTTCCACCATTGCAATCAAACGCACCCTAATTTCTGTGAGTCTGGGCCTTTCAGTGATATCAGGGCTTGGACTGAGAGCAAGATACCTGGATCTTTGAAAAATGCTGTTTGATATGTTGCAGATCTGAATTTTTGGAACTGCAATTAAGCAGTATTGAAGGACACTGAGTTGAAAAATACTCGCTAGGTGAGATCTTCTTAATTTCTGAAAAGTTTACTTTTCAATATTAGGCGTTTCTTAATATTTCCTTTGATTTACCATACACATATACCCTCTGGAGACTAATCTTTGTCCAAATGCTCCTACAAGGTCTTGGGAATCTGAGATAAATCCAGTTGAGTGTGTATCAGGAGAATTTTGTAAGAGAAATCACTTAAACATAGCTTGTGTGATCTCTATTGGTGACTAAAACAATTCCCAACAAATGTTATTTGGACCAAACTTACAAGTCAGAATGTGACTAAAACCATTCCCAACAAATGTTATTTATTAAAAACAACTATTTTCTTTTAAAATGGATCCCTCTATTGACTTGGATGACAATCTGAATAGGTTTACAAAATTGACCCAAGATCTTGCCAACTGTGATGAGAAACTCTCAAAAGATCAGCAGACTGTGGTCTTGTTGAACTCCATTAGTGACAGATATAGAGACATCAAGAGTTGACTTGAATGAAAATTTGAACAGGTTTACTAAACTGACCATTGACTTAGCCAACTGTGATAAAAAAATTTCAAAAGATCACTTGGCTGTAGTTTCGTTGAACTCCATTAGTGACAAATATAGAGATATCAAGATTGCCTTAGAATATGGAAGGGAAGATCTTACTGCTAATGTTATTATAAATGTACTAAGGAATAAGGCATTGGAAATAAAATTTGAAACAAAAGATAATGGAAATACTCTTATGATAAGAAGGAAAGGTCACATTAAATCTAGCTATCACTTCAAGAGTTTTGATGAAAATAAAATCAAATGAGATGATAAGAATAAATCCAAGAATAAAGCAAAGGGTAAGAAATGTTTTCACTGTGGAAAATTTGGACACTTTGTTAAAAATTGTTATAAAAGGAAAAATGAGCTAAAAGAAAAGAAACCTGATGATAGGAATGCTGCCTTATCTTATAATAGAGAGAGAACTGAGAATGGTATTGTTTTGGTCAATGTTGAAAGGAATCTGGTGTCTCTAGGAATGTTAGACGATATGAAATTTGACATAAAATTGGGTCAAAGACACATAAATTTTTTTAGGGGAAATGACTTGATTTTTAGTACCCCTAAGAGATATAGCCTATATTTTTTAAAGGCAAAACCCTTACTTGGTTTGACTACTGCTACCTTGATTGAAAATTTCTCTTTTGCAAAACTGTGGTATGAAAGATTTCGACATATTGGTAAAAAAGAGTTTAAAGACATTACAAAATAAAAGAGTTTTTGGAAATCAAAATTTTGGTGACATTGGTTCTTGTGAACAGTGTCTTATTGGTAAACAAGTCAAACTTCAATTTTTACCTGGAATTCATAAATCCAAACAAATACTTGAATATTTACATGCTAACTTGTGGGGTCCTGCATCTGTGTGTACTCTGTCTGGCTATAAATACTATTTTCTGATCATTGATAATTTTTCAAGAAAAGTTTGGACTTTCTTATTAAAATCAAAAGATGAAACTGAAAATTCAATTGAACCTGAAACTGATCATGATATTAGCTCTAATAATCAGACAAACACTACTACATTACCTATTAATGACTATCTGCTTACCAGAGATAGAGAGAGAAGGAAGATTCAACTCATTTTCATCAATTTTTATCAAAAATACTAAAAATATAATTTTTAACCAAACCAACTATGGACTGAGTCACCAAATTTTAATTTATATTAATTAGGTCATTGAACTTTCAATTATTTTAAATTCAACTACTACGTCATATTTTATCACCTAACATTTCCTAAATTAATTGAAATTCCATAATCCATAATTTAACTGATCTTCCATGCAGTCACTATGTGATACCCTAAACGGAAAATGATAAAATGACTATTATGGTAATAAATAAAGTGGTCCTTTTTTCATTTAAAACTTTTTAGACACGCGTAGGCGTAGTTGTAAGTTGACAAATTACACAGTGATTATGTGGAAGTTTCGTTATGGTGCAAGTAATTTTAAACAATTTGGGAAGGCAACAAGTACTAGAGTGGTGAATTTAAATTTGAATTTGAAGATTAGTGATCCGAATTTTATTGGGAGTTGTTAGTATAATTTGAAGAAGTCTTAAGGAATTCAAGATGGATAAGGAGGAGGTTTCTCAATTTTGGTAGTTTTTTTTCTCGCGTTCCAACTCAAATACTCCATTATTTGTTATACCTATTATATTAGGATTTCACCTTATATTATCCTAATATAGATTGTAATATATTTGTCATTCGACTACGAACCTAAAAAAAGCCTCTGCCTTCTACTCTATCTAAACTCCCCCCATCCACCTGAAGGGAAAAATCGTCAACGATCACAAGGAAAAGAAGAAGCAACTAATTCATCAATAACTTCAAAATATATTACTTCCATTTCATGACAATTAGCCCGTGTTTGATATATAGATTAAAATAATATTTTTAGTAGATTTTGATAAAAGTTGAGAAAATGTGTTGTTAAAATTAATTGTTGACTTTGACTTCAGATTAAAAACAAAATGAATAAGGGTCTTTTACAAACAAAACAAAAAATTATATGTGAATTATTAGAGATGGAAATCCAGCAACCAAAGTCCCAGCTTTAAGTTGATAGATTTAGCCCCAATTTAAGCCACATTCTCATTTTCATTTTCATTTTTCTACTAATTTTCAATAACATATTCTTCAATAAAATAATATTTTCCATCACATCAATAATTTTTCATTCGTTTTCAACTACATATTCACCCTCACATCTCAAAAAAAATGCATTCTTTCCATTTTAATGTACATCATACACACTTAGCGACTAGAATCCTAGAGATGAATTTTAGAGTGCGTACGTTTTAGCAACGATTTTTTCCCTTGCAATGCTCAAAATGTTTATATGTATACATATATTTATTGATTCCATAAAGTTTATTCAGTTTATTTTTAGAAAAACTCCATTAGTTTGAATCTTTGATTAGACATATTCTAGTGAACAGGCACATCACCAGTTTACCACTGCTAAATTAAGGTTGAGCAGTTTAAATAAACTGAATGTAAAATTCTTATTGTACATAGATTGTAATATCTTTATCTCTATAAATAGATACTAGATGAACCTAGAAATCCTTGAACAATCATAATACATAATTCCATAATGTTCAAATTTGGAGGAAAAAGGTGCCCACTCATTGGCATAGTCTTGATTTTGGATAATACCATTTAAGACTTCAAGGTTTGGAGCATTAAGTTCTTGTAATTAAATAGGATGGAAGCTCGTGATCCAAAAAAACTAGAAGTTCGTGAGTCAAAATTAATTCAAGAATTAATCATCGAATTTAGGTAAATATGAGAATCTCTAATTCTTGATATAACATACACATGAAAATTTAGACAATCTTGTTTAATGAATTAAAGAAATTTTTAATTTCTAGATAATTCCGCATTCGCATTCCACCAACTGTTATCAGAGCAATCTATATCATTCACGTCCTTGCTATTTCTGAATCTTGATTGCATATTCTAGTCGAGCGATGTCTATGAATAATTTACTCTATGTTAATTGAATGATTGGATTATTTTAAACTGTGACTAATTATTTGTGGCAATTTCTTGATTGTAATTCGTTATTTCCAATTTGTAACAAGAGAGGTGAATTACGACTTTATCATGTTGATTTAATTTTCGTTTCAATTAGATTCAAAATTGTGAGCCTACGAGACATAGGAATTATGTAATTCTTGTACTTTTTGAATTCAATATGATTCGAGATGATAAATTTCAAGCCCTCTCGGAAACTTTCTTAAAGAGGAACCTCATGTAAATACCTTGGAATAAGATAAATTGATTGAAAATTGAAGACGAAGATTTGAAGACAAGTATTTATATGTAGTGTGGAAAGTGGTCTTAATGGTACAATGGCGATACTCATGTATCATTTGGTGGCTCCTCTAGTCCCAAACCGAAATACAGATTTAGAAAGAAGATGAAGAAAGCTAATAAGAAGCATAAGAGGAACTAAGGCCCAAAGTAGATGGAAAGCCTTTGGAGAATACCATAGAAGACTTAGAGGTTTGGCGTATCAAGTTCTTGAAATTAAAAAAGATTGGAAGCTCGTGATTCAAAAAGTTGAAAATTTGTGATTCATAATTAATTTAAGAATTAATCATCGAATTTAAGTAAATAGAATTCCTAATTATTGATATAACGTACACGTGAACATCTAAACGATCTTGTTTATTGAATTAAAGAAATTTTTAATTCTGAATAATTCCTCTTCCGCATTCGAACATAGAGTTTAGCTTCTAACTATTCACTATCTTTAATAAGGATGGCAAAAAAAATCCAANTTTAGAATTCAATACTTTAAATGAAAATTTTCATTAGTTCTAATAGAAATAGTGACTAAAATTATTTATCTAAATCTAATTAATTGGGAAAATAAAAATAAATTATCAAAAACTTAAAAAAAATAATAATGGGATAGTAAACGGGGCAGTGCCCCCACCCCGCCTTAAACGGGGCAGGGAATTACTTTGCTTGGCTTGGCTAGGCGGGGCGGGGCGGGGTCATCCCTAATCTTCAAACAATTTTTATATTTGAGGAAATTTTATAAGATGGAACAAGTTGTCCTTTTTTATGTTGATACTCCCTTGTGATCAATTACTTCATATTGTGCATATAATCTCATATTTTCTTCAACAAATTGGTATCGGAGTAATCTAATATTGTCTTCGTTTCCAACAGGCTTTTTGTCTCAAATGTAGGTATTAGTATTATCAGATAGTGTTTCTTTTTATAACTAAGTCCTCGTTTGTTTCTCCTTTTTTGCCCATTTAGAAGAATTAGGACCGTTCCATAGTGACACGGCCACCATTGTTGACTTGTTTCTCTCTTGGTGGGTCCGACAACTTTGAATATAACGATAACAATTCTCATTTTTATATTGAAATGATGAGAAACAAACAGACGCTAAACATCCATACATTATAATCGATTCCCACCTGATACTACGCTTTCCTGCACCGGAGTAGATTCATAACTGAATGGACCAAGGGTAGATAGATGACTAATACAGTCTAATAATTCAAACCAAATAAAGTGAGCAAGAAGTTGATTAGCTGCTATAGACATTCCATGCCTCTGGCTGCTCGGGATTAGCTTGGTTCAAGTTAGGACCACAACATAGTAAAATCCCCATCATTACGAGACTTGTGAACCAAAAACTGAATGGAATCCCAGCAAGACAACTGGTTTCTAATCGATTCCCACCTGATACTACGCTTTCGTGCACCGGAGTAGATTTCACCGTTGCAGAAACAACCAATGACGAGCAATCTGATGAATGACACGAGGGACTCAGGCTCGGCTGTTGCGTGTTTTGAGGGTGGAAAAATGCGTATGCTTGTGGCGAGAGGGCCATGGGGCTCTCATTCTTGAGCCCGTGAGCTCGATCCTCAGCTATAGTAATGGAGAGCAATGAAAGAATGACAAAGAGTACCAAGTTAGTCATTTTGGGGGAGTTATCGTTTCTGGGATCGCAAACTCTTAACTTATTGAGCGTGTATACGGTTGTGGAGATATGGGCTTGCTTTTATAGGGTGTAATGTAGTTTGTTTGCTTGAATTTGAATCTCTGTCTATAGCGTGGCTTCAAAGGAAGGGAGTTAACGAATATCAAATAATTAACAAAATATGAGGTCAAGTAAATCCTTGAGTAAAAGGGTCGAGTCGACGTTTTCAAAAATGACATGATTGGTAAATTTGGTTTAGATAAAAAATTTAGAATTCAATACTTTAAATGAAAATTTTCATTAGTTCTAATAGAAATAGTGACTAAAATTATTTATCTAAATCTAATTAATTGGGAAAATAAAAATAAATTATCAAAAACTTAAAATAATAATAATAATAATGGGGTAGTAAACGGGGCAGTGCCCCCACCCCGCCTTAAACGGGGCAGGGAATTACTTTGCTTGGCTTGGCTTGGCGGGGCGGGGCGGGGTCATCCCTAATCTTCAAACTGTTTTTATATTTGAGGAAATTTTATAAGATGGAACAAGTTGTCCTTTTTTATGTTGATACTCCCTTGTGATCAATTACTTCATATTGTCAACAGGCTTTTTGTCTCAAATGTAGGTATTAGTATTATCAGATAGTGTTTCTTTTTATAACTAAGTCCTCGTTTGTTTCTCCTTTTTTGCCCATTTAGAAGAATTAGGACTGTTGCACAGTGACACGGCCACCATTGTTGACTTGTTTCTCTCTTGGTGGGTCCGACAACTTTGAATATAACAGTAACAATTCTCATTTTTATATTGAAATGATGAGAAACAAACAGACGCTAAACATCCATACATTATAATCGATTCCCACCTGATACTACGCTTTCCTGCACAGAAGTAGATTCATAACTGAATGGACCAAGGGTAGATAGATGACTAATACAGTCTAATAATTCAAACCAAATAAAGTGAGCAAGAAGTTGATTAGCTGCTGTAGACATTCCATGCCTCTGGCTGCTCGGGATTAGCTCGATTCAAGTTAGGACCACAACATAGTAAAATCCCCATCATTACGAGACTTGTGAACCAAAAACTGAATGGAATCCCAGCAAGACAACTGGTTTCTAATCGATTCCCACCTGATACTACGCTTTCGTGCACCGGAGTAGATTTCACCGTTGCAGAAACAACCAATGATGAGCAATCTGATGAATGACACGAGGGACTCAGGCTCGGCTGTTGCGTGTTTTGAGGGTGGAAAAATGCGTATGCCTGTGGCGAGAGGGCCATGGGGCTCTCATTCTTGAGCCCGTGAGCTCGATCCTCAGCTATAGTAATGGAGAGCAATGAAAGAATGACGAAGAGTACCAAGTTAGTCATTTTGGGGGAGTTATCGTTTCTGGGATCGCAAACTCTTAACTTATTGAGCGTGTATACGGTTGTGGAGATATGGGCTTGCTTTTATAGGGTGTAATGTAGTTTTTTTGCTTGAATTTGAATCTCTGACTATAGCGTGGCTTCAAAGGAAGGGAGTCAACGAATATCAAATAATTAACAAAATATGAGGTCAAGTAAATCCTTGAGTAAAAGGGTCGAGTCGACGTTTTCAAATATGACATGATTGGTAAATTTGGTTTAGATAAAAATTAGATTTTTAGTAAATTTTGATAAAAAACTACTGGCTGAAAATTTGTAGGTCTTATGAAATGTGTGATTAAATTTAAATGTTGATTTTGACTTCAATTTTAATTTACTTCTACAGCTAAACCAAGCAGAGGCTAAATAAAATCAATATCAAACATGTTCATGCACCATCATCATTATCGATTCTTTACTAAGAGATCGCCTGACATGACTTTTAGAAAGTTAAAAGGAGTTTTTGAGACTCAAAAGCTGCTTTTAGACCCGTTTGACAAATTTTTTGAAAGTGCTTTCAATAGTTAGAACAGTTTTTAGAGAAAGCTGATCAAATGTAATTTTCTCTAAAAGCACTTTCGAAATTGGAAGTATTTTTTGAAATTAGTTTCCGAATAAAAATTAATGTAGTTTCCTCCAAAAGTTTTTCTACAAAAAGCAAAAATCAAACCAAACGGCCCTAATTATTCTTTTCATAAGGAAAGCAACAAAAATTTAGTGTTGCGTTTGCTTAGCTTAACGGTGCAGCAAAGACACGTACTTTTGATGAGCATAATTAAGTCCTAATTCATTTGATGGGCCTGTGAATGCCTCGTCCCTGTCACCTGTTTTCTACGTTATTGCAAATGCGTAAAATAAATCAATGCATTTTTCATTCCCAACCCAGAAAAATACGATACTATTGGCTATTTTCTTTTTTGTGGGGATTCAACTCTGTGGGTGTGTTGAGTGTGAGTTTATTAATTTTGCAAATGGCTCATAAATATTTCACAAGTTACAGCACGTCCAAGTGTCAAGAAATTTGCGAGAGAGAGGGGACGATAGTGAATCTCCCATCCCAAGTCACAAGAATAGAACGTGTTTAATCATGTTGGAACTTTCTTTATCACTTAGAATGGATCATTTTAAGAGGGATTGTAATTTTAAAAAAACATAGAAAAAAAATGTGTCGAAAATTGTCACAGCCATCGTCGATAACATTATTATTGATAATTGCTAATAGAGGTGTACTTAAGAGGTCAGTGAGCTGGCTAGCCTTCGTTCCCTCCTTCTGAAGTGCATGTATCATATCACCTCCCCAAGGTCGCTAACCCATTAATTATGTTATCAGTTATTCGTGCTATTAAGGACTACCTTTTCTCTCCATATGTTTGTTCAAATCGATACTTATTCAAATAATGTCAGCTTCTCCCTATTAGTTCATCTATGTTTTGCGAAAATCATCTGTTGGGAAATTTCACACCAATTTCCCTTTTCTACTTAACCCGCAGGATCTTTTGTTGTTCAGAATAATATTAGCAAACAAGAAAAATAAAGAATATAACGCACAAATTTAAATGGACCGTCAAATCCTTTTCACTATATGAAAATATAGAAAACTTGGGATCATAAGTCTCCTGAGAAATTCTCTCTTTGTCGTGAATTCAGCAAGCCTGCATCAATGCTAATTAATGGGTGGACTGTCGTTCCTATTGTGACACCAAATGTTTAAACAAGGATCAAGAGCACTTTGAAAGCCGTACTCCTTGAATGGTACTCCCAGAGAAAAATGATCTGTTGAACCATTAACAATAAACTCTGGTCTTAGCCGAATAATTTAATATTAAGATGTCCTGCGAAATAATCAAAGTCTCTGTAAACAACTTAGCTTAGTATAGCCTTAGTGTTTTCCGTGCATCAGAATATAAAATTAAGCAGAAGAAGCCATAATTTTTACATCAATTTTATCGAGACCGGGTAAAAGAAGTAAAGAAATAGCAAATTTGTTTTTCACGGGGGAGCTCGTATTCATGTAGTTTTTCAACAATACCCAAATTCCAAATCAAATTATGATAATCTTAAAATCCAAAAATTGCAACAGTCTTACCCAAGATATTATCAATACTATTTAGCAGAAATTGATGATAAAACTAACAAAAACCTAATTTAAAAAATCAGAAGTTTAGATCACTGGATTAATTAGTTAAGCAATAATCTCAAAAACACAGATTGAAAACTTCAATCTACACAATTGAACCTGAATATGTGCAACTTATAACGATCAAATCACATCTAAGCTNTGCAACTTATAACGATCAAATCACATCTAAGCTTTCAAAAACATCAGATTCATATAAAACGCCAAACCTTTTCGTTTATGTATTGCGTTGTGGGAGAAAGTGTTAATTCTGTTGAGGAAGAGGAATAGAGAGAATAAAAATATACGTAAAATATAGATCAAAGAGAAAGAAAAACAGCTAGTTACTGTAGGTTACTGTGTGTAAATCTGTTAACAAATTTGTTGGGGGAAAGAAAGTAAAACGAGATTGATGTATTTTCAGATTATAGAATGGGAAAGCATTTATTTTGTGATGATCTTCCGTTTTGAAACCGACCGCCCCCCTTGAAATTTCAGCATATGTTCTTCTCCCCTGTGTTTTCTCTCTTTCTTTAGTCAAAACATCGTGTTTGTTACTGCCATTCAATTCAAGTCTACTCCACTATTTAACAGTGTTCTAAAATGCGTAATGCAATGCGTTGCGTTGCGTTGCGTCGAGATCGAGAATCAAGAATCACAAATTTAGACGTGCCAATGCAAAAAATAAGCGTCATAATGCTTTTTGTATTTTTAAGGCATTAAATATATTTTTATATAAAAAAATAGACTTTCTACCAAAAAAAAAAAAAATTAGACAGCATAAGGCGCCGCCTAGGTGGGATTAGTCACGCCGCCTTTTAGAACAAAAACGCATTTGCGGGCATTTTAGAACATGGATCATAATACATAATTCCATAATGCTTAAATTTGGAGAAAAAAAGGAGCCCACTCATCGGCGTAGTCTTGATTTTGGATAATACCATTTAAGACTTGAAGGTTTAGAGCATTAAGTTCTTGTAATTAAAAAGGATGGAAGCTCGTGATCCAAAAAACTAGAAGTTCGTGATTCAAAACTAATTCAAAAATTAACCATCGAATTCAGGTAAATATGAGAATCTCTAATTCTTGATATAACATGCATGTGAACATTTATACGATCTTGTTTAATGAATTAAAGAAATTTTTAATTTCTGAATAATTCCGCTTTTGCATTCCAACAATTGGTATCAGAACAATCTATATCGTTCACGTGCTTGCTATTTCTGAATCTTGATTGCATATTCTAGTCTAGCGATGTCTATGAATAATTTACTATATGTTAATTGAATGATTGGATTATTTTAAACTGTGAACTAATTATTTGTGGCAAGTTCTTGATTGTAATTCGTTATTTCCAGTTTGTAACAAGAGAGGTGGATTACGACTCTATCATGTCGATTTAATTTTCGTTTCAATTTTATTTAAAATTGTGAGCCTACGAGACATAGGAATTATGTAATTCTTCTAATTTTTGAATTCAATATGATTCTAGATAAAAAAAAATTCAAGCCTTGAGAGAACTTTCTTAAAGAGGAACATCATGTAAATATCATGGAATAAGATAAATTGATTGAAAATTGAAGACAAAGATTTGAAGACAAGTATATATATGTAGTGTGGAAAGTGGTCTTAAGGGTACAATGGCGATACTCATGTATCATTTGGTGGCTCCTCTAGTCCCAAGCCGAAATACAGATTTGGAAAGAAGAGGAAGAAAGCTAATAAGAAGCATAAGAGGAACTAAGGCCCAAAGTAGATGGAAAGCCTTTGGAGAATACCATAGAAGACTTAGAGGTTTGGTGTATCAAGTTCTTGAAATTAAAAAGGTTGGAAGCTCGTGATTCAAAAAGTTGGAAATTCGTGATTCAAAATCAATTTAAGAATTAATAATCGAATTTAAGTAAATAGAATTCCTAATTATTGATATAACATACACATGAACATCTAGACGATCTTGTTTATTGAATTAAAGAAATTTATAATTTCTGAATAATTCCTCTTCCGCATTCCAACATAGAGTTCAGCTTCTAACTATTCACCATCTTCAATAGGGATGACAAAAAAACCCGACAAACCCGATACCCGCAAGGGCCAGCCCCAAACGGGGCGAAGATAACCCACTTAATTGGGTATTC